GCATGATTCTTCAGTGATGTTACGTAGTGTTTCCTGCTTTGCTTTTACAATTGCAGTGAAAGTGTCCTTTATGGTTGTGTCCTACAGTTTTTGAGTGTTGAACTTGCATTGCGGCCTATCCACAGAAATTCTCGAGACTGTAAACTTCATCTTGAAAGTCGCTTGCACTAGATAGTGGTCTGAACCCACATCTGCTCCTCTTCTCTTCCTGTATTTTCTCCTCCCAGTTTCGCATTCATATCACCAATCAGGATATTGATATCACGATTTGTGACGTTGTCTGTAGAAATAATCCTTCTTCTCCTTGTCACTGAAAGGGTGACATGAAGGAGATCGTGTGTGTGAAGAGGAGTTGAAACAGCATAGACTAACATGGATGCAGGTGAAAAGCACAGCAGAAGACAGAAGCAAGTGGAGACGTGCAGTTGAAGCCCTATGTTCCACTAGGAACCCAAGGGAACAATAATAATATAATAATATGTGTAGGAGCGACGACAATGATATTTCATCTTTGGTGTTGGTGGCACAGGGGTAGAATGCTTGCCAAACACGAGTGAGGTTCAGGGTGCGATCTTTGGCCTACGCACTCCTTTACCTCGCTGAGCCAGTATTGAGACTGTTAAAGAGGGAAGGTTGGGTATGAGTCTGGTCAGCAACACCACTGCTACAGAAACTTCAAGCCCCTAGCTTGAAGTCCCTTAAATAGGTGAACATGGGTTCCCCTGAGAACTTAAAGGAATAAAAAAAGTTGTGATACCCCCTGTGCCACCAACACCAACGATGAAACGTGATGAAATGCATCTCGACGACACCAGACAGACAGTCTACACCTCCCTACATCGCTCAAACCAACACTCAGAGTCTTCACCAATGGCTAACGTCTTTTGCTATCACCACTCCTAACTCTTCCCCAACCTAATCCTATACCAACTGACACCACTCTACGATGTAGGCGATGGCTCGGAAAGCATCACACACACAAGCCGTAGCCATCTCAACCGAAGCAGCTCCACTACCTCATTCATAAGTTGCATGGAACAAGATGCCAAGGAAATAAAACCACTTCTTCAGGAGACTGTATATAAGCCAGAAACTATCATACAAAGTAGTCAAACCGACTCACAATCTTACAATACTACCACCTAAACCGCTTCAAATACCTTCTGTCAGTGAAAATACCCCACCTAATGATAGGAACCACTACTAGTTTTGCACAGAAAGACTTCATTTTACGCATAAAATAGGTGCCTTAAATACAATCAAGGTTTTCCAGTTGCCTTATTTCTCTCTCTCCCTCACTCTCTTTATCTGCATAAGTCGACTGAGGTCTCGTAGAAATTACCTTGGTTTTCTTTGAGATGGCGTTCTGCCATCAGCTTACTAACCTCCATCCATCTCTTGTCACTGAAAAGGAAATGTTGTAAATTCAAGGATTGTAGCATATCTCAAGGTTCATAGTTTACGCAAATATACAGTTTATCATTTTACGAACTCAATTGTCTCCATGATGACTAAGTTAACTGTGATAGAATACCTAGAGTCTTCACTTTTCGACCCGTTTATTTATCCTCACAGTAAACCGAAATATGGGCTATTCAAAATACGCCATACTATCGTTGTTGTTGTTGTTGTTTTACATATGTGAATAGTCCAGCGATAAATACATGAATCATTCATTCATGCATCCACTCATTCATTATATGACATCATATCCAAGCTCTTCAAAGCATGCATAATACCTACGCTGTCAGATATACTAATTCCATACTGAGTAACCAGTTAGCTTATTATCATCAGGTATCCCAGTTCCCGACGAACGAATATTCGCCATGTTTCCGGAGTGAACAACACTGTGCCAGATGGCTTGTAGCGCATTTCTTCCCTCACCCAAATAGATGGCACAGACTTTGTGAAACTGGTTCGTCTTCAATAGGAAGCTGCTGAGATTCAGTATGAGTTGTCAAAAACAACTCTACGACTAGCCGAGGAACACTAAGGCACAGGAAAAGACGCCATTCTTTGTGACATGAATAACTTTAATGTCCATCCACGAAGCGGACAAAGTCTTAGTGGAATACGATTCATTGACTCTACCAGTGGGAAGATGCCATAAAATGTTAGCACATTTTTGAGGACAGTAGCTGGCACACCATCTGGATCAAAGGACTGGATAGATCTTAGAGGTTCAAGACACTTGAGGACATTGTCTGATTTGCGGGATGTAGTGTAAAACATTGATGTGTCTGGGAGAAAAAGATATGCAAAACAAGCGAATAATAATTGGGTGAATCTCATCACTTAGTTATGTGACACAAGTGTGAAGATGTTACGGGAATCTCACGTTCCGTGTAAAGGATTCGTGATACTCGGCCATCCTAGCATCATATGGGTCGTGTAAACTAAGTCAGCTACCCCTTTCCAAGTAACAATTCAATTGCTAAAATAGTTAGATTTAATTGCAGTCAATTTAGTAGGCACATCGAGAATGAAATTGGGTAAAAATAGTGACGTTCTGCAGATGTGGAAAGCAATTCCAGAGTTTGCTTTCAATGTTGTTATGCGTTCTATAATGTATAGTTTTGATACCCGACTAACTGAATAGATATGAAGTTAACCTTTGAAGATGGAATACTCACTGAGAATATGGGATAGTGAGATATTTTCCGACTAGTAAAAAAGTGATGCCCACGTAATGGATACCGTTTACGGCTTCTCCGTCTGTTGTAATAGTGCAGTCTCTGTAGTTTGTATTCTCTAGTGAATAGCCGTTATTCAATAATACAGTCCAACAGAATATGACTTTACTTTATCTGAACTCAGCATATGAGATTGCTCTGCTGCCCTTCTCATAGTGAGCTGGAGTATCTATCAAGTGAGGAAAGCGACTGAAAGTACAGTGGGTAAGCTGAGGTAACATACTTCCGTAGGAAATGTTTGTTTGGTTTTGAAGATGGTTGCGCATTTTACTCGTGTAGTAAGTAAGCTTAATAAAACTTAACGAAGGAAAGGAGACCTGCTTTGCAATAACAAATTATACTATTTCATCGGGTCCCATAAGGGGGACGAAAGACGTGAGTGGAAGTGCTCTTCGTCGAACTAAGAGTAGTAGACCAACTGAGGACGACAGACTACACGAGGTGAGAACTAACAGCCAAAATAGCTCTATCCACACAAAATCACACGTCAGCAGACAAGCAAAGGGCGCCGAGCTGATACCCACGATTTTCGCAATACCCGAGGTTGTAATATGCCTATAGGCACATATAACCTGAGAACGGGACCCATAATTAATAATGAAAACACATGGCCTACTAGACGGGACACCACTAGGTACCATATCAACGGAAATGTATACTCGAACCCTAGTAGTAGTTACGTAAAGCCCCATCGGCATAACGGGTAAAGATTGGCCCATGGTCCTTCTAGGTACACACACGAAATGAGTCAGCAAACGTGCAACTACGTAAAACCTAGCATGCACTATCCTCAAAACAACCTAAAAACAGGGTACTATGGCCCTGTAAATTACAATGTGAACAGTGAAACAGCCTATCTTATGCAGAGAAATGATCCCGGATACCCACGTAATGAGGCCAGAAACCAATATATGCAACAGGATTATTTTCGGTTGCAGCAAACAATAGCCCCTCTTGCAGTACAATTTGTTCAGGGAATAGTAGACACGCTGAGAATGTCTCATCTGAGAATCCCTCCGAACATAACATAGGCAACCAGGAGTTGGGGATAGTAACAAGAAAACCTACTAACTATCCTCCCAACAACCCTGGTTTTCTGAAAATTATGCTCTTAAATGCCCGATCTCACCTTAACAAAACAACTTCCCTTCGCAGCTTGGTATACATGGAGCCGCCAACACTGATTCTGGTAACTGAAACTTGGCTTACTACTGATATACCTGACACAAAGCTGATAATTGATAACTATAACATCCACAGGAATGACAGAGTGGATGAAAGAGGAGGCGGGTGTCTAATATATGCTTCTAAATCCGCTGACTCCAGTACTTTTACAAGCCTAACTATCGACAAACTCCCAGAATCCAAGTGGATAAGCATCCACGCGAATGAAAATAAAATTCTTGTGGAATGTATATACAGAGCCCCTAACAGCCCTACAACGACTGATACGGTTATCAGAGAAATACTAGAGATTGTACCTAAGCTGGAATTCGACTACAAACTAGTTTGTGGCGATTTCAACCTCCTGGAGTGAACTGGGATACCTGCACTGGACCGAGAACCTACGAGGGGATCCTAGAAGCCATAGATGTAGGAGGATGGAAGCAGTACGTACGCCTCCCAGCACGACACAACAATATTCTCGACTTAATCCAATAGAGCCGATCTCGATAGAGGTGGGGCATACACTCGAAAACAGCGATCACAACATTCTGTACTGCACCCTACCACTACAACTAACAACTAAACTAAACACACACCTAAAGGTTCCCCGATTTACTATCAATATAGGGACTATCGAAATGCCGACTGGGAATTCCTACCAACGCTCTTGAGAAGATCTGACTGGGGTGAATACTTCACCAATAATAACTTAGAAGTAACACTTCATACCTTCTACAAGACAATCAGTTCGGTAAGGGACACAATTGCACCTTTGAAATCTGTCCTAAAAACACCAACTCTATTCATAGACCGCAAAACGCGATTAAAACTAAGGAAACTGAAAAGGAAATTTTATTTATACAAAGAATTTAGTGCATTACACCAGATACATGAAACATTTAAAAATCTTGAGGAGAGGTATAAAATGAAGGCACAACTCGAGGAAAATAAAGTCCTAGAGGGCACCTCTAAAACTCAGGAACTCTCCAAGATCTTGCAAAAACTACCAAAGAGGGGTGAAGACAACAGTATTAGCTACTTGGAACATGAAGGTATAATTTATGATGATCCCCAGATCATTAGTGAACTCCTGAGTGAGTGGTTCTCCAATAACACCAAAGCGCATCCGTCCCCAATTCTCGACATAACCTGCAAAAATAACTACAAGTTAGGTGAAATCAACTTTAATATACAAGATATAGCATCGACGGTAAGGACATAAAAGCTAACGGTAGTTGTGGGATAGATGATATACCATCCGTCATATACAAAAACGGTGGTACGGGGATATGATAGTATTATTACTTAGAATATTTAATATCTCACTAGTGACTGGGACCTACCCTGAAACTTGGAAAAACACATATGTATTACCTAAGCATAAAGGCGGGGCCAAAACTAATGCGTTATTATAGGCCTATTAACATAACACCTGTCATATCAAGGATCATGCAGAAAGTAATCAAAAACCAAATGTCAGACTACTTTCTAAAACATAAACTCATCAACCTGTCACAACACGGATTCCTCAAGAAAAGATCTTGCGTCACATGCCATATAGACTTTCAACGAAGTCACCTATAGAAGAGATAGGAGAGAGCTAGTAATTATCCTCTATTTAGATATAAGGAAAGCCTTCGACAGAGTCCCACACAGTTTGCAAGTCAGCAGCCTATGTTCACTAGGATACGCGATCTGAACTGATGACGACTAGTGGTGTCCGTCAAGGATTCCCATTATCCCCATTCCTATTCAATTTCATCAAAGATGTACTAATGGACTTAACCCTAAGTGACTTCAGAGACTCAGGGATTGACTTGCTACCAGGGAATAATCTTGCTTACTTAGAATATGAAGACGATATGGTCCTCCTTGACGACGACTCTGACAAAATCCAGCAGAGTCTTCTAAACACCTTGAGCCGCAATCTACGAATGTTTGGCATGCGATTCGCTCCCGCCAAATGCAAGATGATGTTACAGGACTGGACTACACCGACGCCTAGTTTAAAAATAGGAAGTGAAGTGGTAAAGCACGTTGACCGCTTCACTTATTTGGGAAGTACCATCAGCCAACGCCAACGGGTTGATCTCTGACGAAATCTCAGCACGAATACAGGGGGCTCGTTTCGCATATGCCAGTTTACGCCGTCTCTGGCGTAGATGTGATATCCGGCTGGCTATCGACCAAAAGGCGGGTGTACTGCTCATCAGTCCACTCCGTCCTCCTTTATGGCTGTGACTGAGACATGGCCATTGAGAGTGAAATACATGAAAAGATTAGCTGGCTTTGATCATAGATGCTTACTCTCTATCTCCCGTGTGAAGTGGTATAATAAGGTGAGCAATATTGAGGTTAGGCGTCGGTCGAGGTATAGGTAAGCATGGGAAATCAATCGACGAGGCTGTGAAGCTACATCGACTGAGATGGTTAGGACATGTGTTACGTATGCTTAGTCATCGCCTTCCTCGACAATGGGCAATGTTAGCTGATATAAGGTCAGGCTGGAAAAGAGCTAGCGGCGGTCAGACCAAAACATGGCTTCATCAGTCAATGAAATCCACAACAGTTAGTTTAAGTTACGTAGGAAGCTGAAGACTTCCTGATTGGTTAGAGTTCTCGGGACGGTAAAACCAATGGCTGAAAACAGTTGGTGATATGGCTCAAAATCGTTCTCAATGGCTGGCGCAGATGCATCCACTCCTTGTGACTTATGATTTCCAATAAAACTATATTGTTCTTCGTTATCATTATTCCTATGTCTCACACCTCTGTTTACTGTCTCTATTATGCGTTTCTTGTACTTTATTCTCTTGCTTTGTGTAATACATTGAGTATGGCGACTTGAACTGCCGCACATATGTGTAAAGTACTATGTCGAAAACAGACAGACAGACTAGGGATACGCAACCCTCTCTACAGTTGGATGAGATCATTTCTCTATGACAGGAATCAGACAACTAAAGTTGGCTCAATGACTTCCAGGCCTAGACCAATCAGCAGTGGTGTCATCCAGGGGAGTGTATTGGGACCCCTTCTTTTCATTATATACATAAACAGTATACGTGAATCCTTTAGTATAGGCAAGCCAATACTGTATGCAGATGACTTGAAGGTGACATATACCTGCACAAATACAGATATCGGCACAATTACGAACTCCATACATGAAGAATTAATAAAAATGGATAGATGGTGTGACACCTGGAGACTAGAGTTTAATGTTGACAAGTGTGGATGGCTCTGCATAGGCTGTTTCAACCTTGAACTCAACCTAGCAATTCAGGGCCACTAAATCCCCAGACTCAAATCTCTACTAGACCTACGACTGAAATATTCACACAATCTATCATTTTCAGAGCATATCTCGAAACAAGTATCGAAATCACGCAGGCTTATTGGTTTCCTACTCAGGAACTTCTACAGAAACGAATCGAGAATACTACTGTACAAGGTTTGTGTGCGCCTACTCCTAGATTACTGCTCATTCATATTTAGCAGTACACTCATAGAAGACAGACTGAATGTAGAAGGAGTACAGAGGTACTCGGAACCGATAACGGCACAAACTACTCTACCAAATGTGAAATCCTAGGACTAGAAACATTATGGTTAAGGCGACTGAGACTAAATGTGGTATTCTTCTATAAGATTCTTAACCACATGGTGTGTGCCCCTGCCAATTATACTCAGTTCTCAGAAGACACTGGATATAACCTTAGACACACTAAAGGTACAGTGGCTATAGAACCACGTAAAAACAGCCACCAGGCAAAAGGTTTTCTTGACTAGGTATGCCCAAATATGGAACAAACTACCTGAGGAAATGCGACCAGCAAGCACATTGGCCTCCTTTGAAAAGGCACTTAATGACAAGCTAAGTGAGTTTGCAAGTGATACCAGTGCTAATTCGTATGTAAGAGTTTCAGAAATCATAGGCCCATTTAATGTATGAACTTACAGACTACAACTGTTGTTTGTTTTGCCCCTATTTATAATTCCAGACAAAAAGCAGCAGTCATGACAATAACACCCATTCAATTAAGAGTCAATCGAACTGTCTACCTGATACATAGGGAGAACCATAACCAACATACGAATAAAATATGAGAAAACAAGGCCGAAACTTACTGCAATACCACATGGAAATGTGTGTTACTTGGACATCATTTATAATCCACCAACTGGTCTCCTTTCCAAAAAGAATGCGGCGATATTTTATCCACTGTACAGAGGCAAGGAAATACATAAATCCACAGCTGCTGTTGTAAACACTCAGTGGAGGTAGGAGCCAACAAAGTAATGCATTTAAAGCATATTTACACTTCCTATGATCACGACGGCACTCTGCAGAGTATGTCCAAATCCAAATCACTGCATACACAGCGCCAATAAACCTGGACATCAATGAAATAACGAAAACATGCTGACAGCTGCATCTCAGATCATACTTATTCATTCCATGGTAATATTCTGCTCCCGCATGCTTTATTCAACATTTATATGGATTGGCTAGCGCTCATTCTGATTCCAGATCGAAAAGAATAAAAAGCTTTTTATTCTGGTGAACTAGTTCACCAGTTGCTGAATCAATAGTACTTCTCTGCATGTTAAAGTGTATTCAAACTGCTTTGGTGAGCCTTTTGCATATTATGTTACTTAAAACATCGTTTACGGTAAACTAACTAACGTTATATAGGCCATTTTTACACCTGTGAGTAGCCAACCATATCGACAAAATGTAACGCAACACTCAGTTGTTACGCGCATATTCAACAAATTCAAACCATAATGCTGCCTAGGATTATATCATATAAATTGTTTTAACTTATGCAAAGTTTGTTTAACATCATTCTTCCGTTATCCTCCTTTCTATATATATATATATATCTTGTGTCAGTGAAATATTTTAAACATGCCTACTCAATGTGTACACTATTATCATATTGATGATGCCTGTCAACAGTCATGTGCATTAAAAGGCAGTATGTTATCATAAGATTCATTTTATTGTTATATTGGGTAACTGACTTCAAGACTTATTTATTTTCCCAAGCATCTGTAATCCATCCAACGAATACTTAGTTTTTTTGTTAATGCGAAGTCAATATCTCTATATCTCTTGATGTGGTTCATTGAACCACTAGTTGTCAGACAAAATGACAGCAACCACATATCATGTAATTTAAACAATACTTAGGCATGCCTATACGACTGGTGTGTCCTACATAGCTCGGAAAGTTATGAGCCTTAGTATATTAACTTTACTAACTATGCTTACTTATATTATGTGTAATCTATCGAAATGATGATGCCTGTAAACTGGCGTCCCTCATGTACAAAAATGGGAATATATATTATTATTAAGACGGCAACTGCATCTAAAGTACTTCTGCTGTGTTTATAAGCGAATTTTTAAGGATCGTAAAAGGCTTTAGTGACAGCCTGTCGACGGGCGTAATTTTGAGTGACCGCGAATGAGATAAACAAGCGATTCGCTCGCTTGTGATTGGCCAGTTTGTCATTCGAGTTGAGGTAATTTCAAACATCATTTTGCTGCTTGGTTAAGTCCTGAATTTCCCTGAGTGTTTTATCAAATTCGAGAGATAACTCACAACACAAGTTATTACAGCTCAGGAAATAAATGATATAGCAGTAGATTTGTTTGCTGAATTCAACGAATTCATGCCATATCAAGATCCAAGGACTTCTCAGGAGTGTCAAGAATGCAAACAATGTACTGAAGAGGTAATAACTTCACGCAACTTCAGTTATCGCTTGACCATTATTTTCAGAGATCACTAAATAAGTATAATATACACAGTGGTCTGGCTAATCATGATAATAACGATATGGCTGATGCAGCATACACGTATACTTATGTATATGTAGGTAAACCTAGATGAACTGTATCCTAGTCACGAAGATCGGAAAGCAGGTACCAGATGTCTCAGTAAGCAGTGTAATACATGTAAGTTACATGTTTTTATTTAACATAAACTGGATCTCCACTCACTTTCAGAATTAATCTTAAATTCAGTTAGAATGAGCTAGTTGAGCACATCAGTATTGAGAGAATACAGTGAAAGTAAGTGAACACATGCTTCTTAAGATTAAGTGATACATTTATTTGATATGATTGTATTATTATTAGTTGTCTATCTAAGTTTATGATGAATTCGTTGCGATAATAATTTCTGTCATTGTTTTTATAGTCACTATGAACATGAATGTTATTATTATTGCTGTCAAGACCTATTATTTGTCATAAAGTCGTTGTCATTTTTGCTAAATATTTGTACAAGCCTTGGAAACTACTGAATAACTTGTCGTTAAATAATTTTATCATTTCATGATGCTTCGATGGACCTACTAGATATCGACCAACGATAAGTTGCGAAGTCCCTTAAGTTTAGCGAAAACTATTGGGCTACTTATATATATGTATATATTGTTTGTAAAGTGATTACTTGTGAATGCTTATCAGGAAATTTTTTTTATTCAGATCATACATGTAACACCCAAGTTAATTATGCTTTTCTTAAACCTTTTCAGACTTATGGAAAAACATATGCGTGTCGTGTACGCAGATGGAACTTACTGACGGTAACAGAGGACTACTCATCTGAACTATCTGTACATTTGAAATCTAATTTTTGTTTAATAAACAATTTTTTCAATGAATCTGTCTTCCTTCTGTTGTAATGCGATTGTGTTCCAGTAACACAAGTAGCACGTGCCAAGTTAGAAGCTGAGGGTAAACTGTTAGGAGTAAATGAGGAGCGTGGAAAACTTCTGTTTACCTGATTATATGAGCAGATAGCAACTTATCGTGTTTCGTGTCTGAGAAGCCTAGACATTCTGTTTTTTAATTATTACGATAACTGTAGTTGCACTGAGTTATACATCTAACAGCATAGGTATAGTCTCTCCTTATGGTACATTGCGACATGCAGAAATCACAATAATAATAGTATATTCTCATTTTGTATATGAGGGACGCCAGTTCACGGCATCATCAGTCTGATAAATTACATATACGATTAGCAATCATACTTATTAATAATGTTTTAATGAAATACACATTTTCTCCTACTTCTGTAGGATACATCAAATATACAGGCATGGATAAGCATTATTTAAATTTCACAAATTTGGTTTATGGTTAAATTACATGGTTGCTGACGTTTCTGTCTTTGGTTTGTGGGAACAATATGATAACCAGTCATTCAATGGAGCACATCATGAAATATAGGATTATTGGCTTCGCATTAACAAAAAAACCCAAGTAAGTTTTGGATGGATTAAAAATACTTGGGAAAAAATAAAGCTTGAAGTTATTCCACAATATAACCAGTCATTCAAGCGAGCTATCTCGGGTAGATTTATCTTGCACTTTGTGACTATGAATCGCGAATCAGTATATGTATTCTGCTAAGATGATAGATAACTCAAAACGCTTTATAATTGCAACAACCCCTCTACGATTTAGACATATTTACTTTGTTTGACTACAACATAATCTTTTATCAATAGGCTTCTCCGAATATCTCCTCCTATTTAGTATTTCACAGATAGCCTCATATACTCTACACCTCACAAATTACGCAACGGCCAATATTCGGTCTTATCAAGTAGAATAAGCAAACGAATAACGAGGAATACATTTATTTATTAATGAATTAACATGCAATACAAAATCGGGTATCTTTTTCTTCATCACCCAAATCCATGAAATTCCCGAAAGTAGGTATTATCTGAAAAAGAACACAAGAATTATACAGATGAAGACATCGTTACCAGTGTAAACACAATAATTAACCGTTAAATATGTTTAAAATGACGAAATAATTAGTCAAATTGTATATAATTACGTCAGTCAACATTTTTCAATAATACAAAATCGATATTCCATCTGCCTGCAAACATCAAGTTTTTGCTGTAAAATAAGGAAACATTATGCGTATATAATTTCTAAGTATTTCTGCAGATTTTTTTAAAGAAATACATGTGCAGGAGCCTTGTCAGAGCATTAGGAAAAGTACACAACAAAGTAAATGAAATAATTACAGAAACAAGCTGTCAGTCACGTCTCGTAAACCGTCAATGCCCAGCTCTTGCTACGCTGGGACTCACGCTGTTCCTTGAAGTTCTCAGAAACGCTTAGTAATAACGGACGCAAAAACCAAAACACCGATTGGCGACTCGAGAGTTCTTTATTGTAACGCCAACATATAGCCAACTTTAAAACTAAGCTTTAAAACTAAGGTTTCTGACGGTTGTCTCCTGACTTCTTTCTGAACAGCGACCGATGAGACGATGACTGGTCTATTGATGCCTCCACGAAAATTGGGGAAGTTGGTTTTGAGCAAACAACCATGAATTGATCGTTCAATCTTCAACTACATTGACACAAGCTATCCCACCTCATTATGTTCATGTGTAATCCATCAACCTGCACAAAAATCACAGAAAGTCGTTATAACATGTGTCTGCAAGTAATTTGACATTTTCTGAACGGAAAAGTACTTATTTCAACAATCTGTAAACTGGCCGTAAGCTGTGGCCGGATAAGCACACCATCATTTGCTGTATTTCGTCAACTTTTAGCAGGAATATAAGTTAAAAGGTGTGTAAAACAACCGAAAATTGCCTAACCTAGAGATTTTTTCAAAAAATTAAGCCAGTATCCTTCAGCTGATCAAATGACCAACGGCCGTCTACAGGCTGACTAAATCATCAGGTTGGAAACATTTTAAATAATCGAGAGAGTAAGTAAAGCGATTTGGACACATAATTGAATAATTAAAACAAAATCAATCCAAGTAATCAGATGCAATACAAGTGACAGAAAATTTTGTTAACCCAAGGTTTGAGCAGGCCGCCGTTGTAATATATAGTCATCTGGATGAATATACGTATAGAAATTGGTTTAATTTAGAAACTGAAACTCCTCATTATAATTGGGGTATCTTTATATCTCATATTAGACAAAAATACCCTGTTTGATGTTTTTTCACACATTTTTTACGTAAATATACGTAAACTTTTATACAAAAATCCTCCAATTTTCTGATTTGTCGGATCAGCGTCACTCGTGCTTTCGCATCCCTTGGGATGCTTTGCAGAACTTTGCCCTTGCAATGCACTTTCAATGATAATAACAATAATATATATTTTCATATACACATATAAATTTACATCAAAATGCATGCCATTTTTACAGGCACGATCAAGTATGAAATAGTCTCAATTCGTAGATTGTCTACAAGTTAATAAGATTTCAACAGTTAAATATTTGATATATATATATCTATATATAAACACACTCACTGTCTGAACCAGGCCGCATAGTTATTGAATTGTACAGTTGTCCTCCAGGTTTCGCGGGAAAATTGACATCGTCTCGTTTTCAATCCGTGGTTGTGGGCATACGACAACCAACCAATATTGAGGTAACCACAACTTTTATAAGGGATTGAAAGCAGTTTAAAAAAGTAAAACAGGAAAGATGAATCATTGAAGTGTGTGTTTGTGGTTTATTAGACTGCTATACATTCCATGTCTGAGTGTACATTTTTGCGAACTTAGAGCGATACTGGCGATATTGGTCAAGTGGGATGAAATAAGTAAGTGCAATATATCATTAATAAAAGCATTTATAAAGGAAATGGAATGGGAAACTAATTAATCCCTAGGCTGACAACGTTCATTTGCAATGTATAATGCTACCCATATATGTCTTACTATCATGATGTCCACTTCTGCTTTTAACAC